ATAGGTCTGTTGCCACCACTTGACCGCTGTAGTATCTCATGTCTCCATTGTAGATTCTTAATATTATCGTCGTCGCCCCATGGGCTGCACCATGAATTTGCAAAATTGTGGCACCAGAAGTTCCATTTGGCACAAAGGCGTGGCCTTCAAATTGCCATACACCAGAATAGTAATCAAGGCCCTGCCAAGGAAAGATGTAACTCATAGTAAACTCATAGCACGAAATAATGTCTTATGTAATATGTGTACAACATCTAAGGTAATATTGACCTCGTAAGAATCTAATAGCACACTTCTCTGAATTTAAAACATTAAAAGTTCTTATTCATAACCGTTACTGAAGTAACTAATAGTTGAGATTACGTGTTAGTACTCTTGTGAGGCCGGTACCAATAGAAGAAAACAAGACGTGAATTCTTACACGTATCCTGACTTCTGTTCGTGGCTGTGTGTGGCTGTTGGGATCGTGTGGCTTATCGTCTGCATAAACCCATAGCCGATGAGTTCCATTTACGAAGCTGTATCTCTCTTCAAGGGGGATATCATATGGCCTTTGGATTTCGAAATTTTCTTTTGTTAATGGCACATTGGTGAACCCATCTGTAGGATCAGCACAACATAGCAGAAAAAAGTGAGCAGCAATCAAGAATACTACAAGAAAACTCATATTTTTGTAGGAAAAATCCATGCATTTCATTGAATGCAAGTAAACCAAATGCATTGGGCATGTTTAAATAATGAAAGTAGGTAGGTTGCATTATTGCTAAATTTTTGTAATCAATACATGTTTTGGTGTTTTCTAGTTGTTCCCGAATCTGTGGGGAAATATAATGTCTTGCAATAAAAGAATACAAAAACAGCCTCCCGGTTGTTATTGGAAGGACGTGTGGATAAAATCTTGATGGACATTCCTATAATTAATCATTCTTGATTTTTCATCCCATGACCATGAAAATTTGGAACTTCCACCTTTGAAATGGTTAATTTTAAGTTATTAGTAGTTCTCATTTCTCTCTCTCCAAGGAAAGGAATGACTAGATGAGATCAAAGAAATGGAACTTTCTTTGATAAACAATCAAGGACCTAAGAATGGAGTCATGAAAAACGATTCTGAATATTTCATTACTTGATAAACAATCAACAACTTAAGAACTGACTCGTGAAGGATTCATATAGCCGACACTTTTTATCTCTTTACAAAACTAACACAAGATTTCTTTGATAGCTTCAGAAAATCTTGAGCGATTTCCATTTCATCTACCAAAAATAAATAAATAAATAGAAGTATTGTTGCAACTACAGAACTCACTCTTAAAATCAGTTTGTATCGGCCACCTTCATGAAAGTATATGAAATTATTGCAACATTAAAGTCTCCACAATCACTGCCTACCTGATTTTATTTTCCATTAAAAGAAATACTTACCAAGGAATATTCTATTATAGTATGAAACACAGAGACTAGTCTTGTGAATATTTATTAGTGAGCCCAAATAAATCTGTTACAAAAAAAGCACTGTTATGGAACATATGCAGTTGGATTTATATGTTTGGGCTCTTTATGTCCAGAAGCATTATTTATTCTATTAGATGTAATATGATATTAGAAATGATATTGGGTCTAATTCAACCTAACAAAATCGACTTGTTATGAGAGGATTGTCTTCACCTTATTAAATTGATCGTGTAAATATCACCAACCAATGTGAGATTCTAATATGCTCCCTCATGCACATCGTGGACCATGCCAAATAACTGTGAACAAATCGATATTGGGTGCACCTAACATTACAAAACTGGGCCTGCTCTGATACCATATTAGAAATGATATTGTGCCTAACTCAACCTAACAAAACAAGCTTGTTAGGGAGGATTGCTCTCACCTTATTAAGTGGATCGTGTAAATGTCACCAACCAATGTGGGACTTTAATATATGATCTATTGGTTTTTTAAATACAAAAACTCAATTAAGGGTTCCACCCGTGACTAATATGTTGCCACACGTAGAATTTATAATTAATCAAAGGTGTCCCTCTTTAATCAATATTTTACTACGTCAACGTCACTTTTTAAAAAAATTAAGGTGAACCGACGGCCGGTCTAGCTCTGTGAACAGTGATGAGAAGAATTGTAATGAAATGTCAAAGTGTGAAGAGAAATGACTCTATTTAAGTTGTGTCCTTTCGTTATAAGCATGGAAAAATATAGATTTATTGGATGGAATCTAGAAATTTATTGTAATGAATTAGTGGAGAGATTTTTCAAGAAGCTTGCCATGATTTTGGGAGCGTACCCTCGAATTTGGTTGGCATTGCATTACTCGTTTTTTTTTCTTAATAATATTATCACTCTTCGTGGACCAAGTGAATGACCTTGAGGGCAAGGGAATAGAGAATTGGCTTGTCTTGATCTATTTTGGAGATCAACTTGTCTCGGCCCATTTGTGGATATTCAATGTGGAATTTTACCTACCTTTAACATGCTCCTCCCCTATAAATTGATCGCTCGTTTGAGAAAATCACTCTTGAAATTCAATTGCTCTTTTTAGCTTTATACAAATCACTAGTGTGGTTAACGTGCGTTGCACGTTAGTTGTTTAATGTTGAAAATAAATATATGTAAATTTTAGAGAAATTTATTTGTAAACATTAAAGATATTCATCAGGTAAATGTGTCACGGAGAGATCGTGTCTCTTGCAGACTTCTTCTTTAAAGAAAAAATAGTTATTTTAGCTACCTCCAACTAATGATCCAATTGTATCATTTACCCTAGGCTAATTTTCTGCCCCCAATGGGCAGAAAAAAACTTCCATCCTGCCCACTGAGATCTATTTCATAATTCACTTAACATATCCACGTACATGTGCATATGCATGTAAATATCAAAATCGAAAAAAAAATGTTTTATACCTTTGTTCGAACACGACATTCTTAAAATCAAATCCTCTAGCATCACTTCTCATGGCATGTTAGGCAAAGCGTAAACCATTTAATTTTAAGTAATAAGTAAGTTTCTAACAAATATGTGTATACATGTCAAAGATGGAAAATGGAAGCAACTCAACTTTAACTTGCTTTTAAGTTTAGCCAAACATTATGANAAGCATGGAAAAATATAGATTTATTGGATGGAATCTAGAAATTTATTGTAATGAATTAGTGGAGAGATTTTTCAAGAAGCTTGCCATGATTTTGGGAGCGTACCCTCGAATTTGGTTGGCATTGCATTACTCGTTTTTTTTTCTTAATAATATTATCACTCTTCGTGGACCAAGTGAATGACCTTGAGGGCAAGGGAATAGAGAATTGGCTTGTCTTGATCTATTTTGGAGATCAACTTGTCTCGGCCCATTTGTGGATATTCAATGTGGAATTTTACCTACCTTTAACATGCTCCTCCCCTATAAATTGATCGCTCGTTTGAGAAAATCACTCTTGAAATTCAATTGCTCTTTTTAGCTTTATACAAATCACTAGTGTGGTTAACGTGCGTTGCACGTTAGTTGTTTAATGTTGAAAATAAATATATGTAAATTTTAGAGAAATTTATTTGTAAACATTAAAGATATTCATCAGGTAAATGTGTCACGGAGAGATCGTGTCTCTTGCAGACTTCTTCTTTAAAGAAAAAATAGTTATTTTAGCTACCTCCAACTAATGATCCAATTGTATCATTTACCCTAGGCTAATTTTCTGCCCCCAATGGGCAGAAAAAAACTTCCATCCTGCCCACTGAGATCTATTTCATAATTCACTTAACATATCCACGTACATGTGCATATGCATGTAAATATCAAAATCGAAAAAAAAATGTTTTATACCTTTGTTCGAACACGACATTCTTAAAATCAAATCCTCTAGCATCACTTCTCATGGCATGTTTAGCAAAGCTTAAACCATTTAATTTTAAGTAATAAGTAAGTTTCTAACAAATATGTTTTTACATGTCAAAGATGGAAAATGGAAGCAACTCAACTTTAACTTGCTTTTAAGTTTAGCCAAACATTATGACATTACATTTTTTTCTTCTCCAGCAACAAATTTTGCTAGTTTTTCCACAATATAGTCAAAAAGTGCCTAAAATCACATTAATCTGGAAAATTAAGAGATCAAGTGCATGGTCCAAATGAAAGAAAATGATTGTATAAAGAAAATAATTGCTTAATTCTAAAGTTCCACCCATCAATGTAGGGAGTATTGATGCCTCACTGGGTGAACATTTTTTTTATAAAGGAGTTTTAGTGCTTACATCTAATATCAAGAAACGGAGTAGCATGAATGTAAAATAGAAAAGGAGTTAAAATTTTGGTACTTAGTACAAATAGATCGAGATAGACATTAAAGAAAATGAAAAAGAAATGCATGGACCACAACATATGAGTAAAATAACAGTGAATATAACTCTGTTAACAAGAAAAAACAATCAAAAGAGGCTAAAGAAAAGTTGAGGCACCTTTTCTGAGCATTGCTGCTGGAATATACCCTGTTGCAAATCTTCCTAGGACATAGCAAATTTCATAGAGAATAGAGCTGTGTTACTCTTGTATATTTTTTGAACATCTTAAGTGTGAAGAATAATGAAGAAAAGAAAATAGGTGGCCAAACCTTAGTCCTTGGCAGAGTCGGTTGCCCTTAGATGGTTTGTAGTTCAGGAGAAACACCACATAGTTTGTTTAGTCCTCCCGGGCCACCTCTTCTTTTTTTTTTCCTTCCAGTTGGAGCACGCAAAGACATACATAAAGGGGATATATCAAGCCAAAAGGAAGAAATAATTACACTAAGTCCTACATAAATGTTATGACAAAAAAATAACATGTGGAAGGGATAAAGAGAAGAAAGAAGGAAACTTCCATCAAAACAAAAGGAAAAAATGTTATTAGTAGTAATAAAAAAAAATCGTGCATGGAGGCGAGGCACACGGGTGTGTCTCCGTGAGCGTGCGGGGACACCTCCATCCAGGATGGAGACATCGTCGTGCCTCCATCCAAGTGGATGGAGGCATGATTTGCCTCCATCCACTTGGACAGAGGCATTGGCATGGTTTGCCTCCATCCACTTGGACGGAGGCATCTCATGCCTCCGTCCAAGTAATGGAGGCGGAGGCCAAGTGCTCGCAGAGTAATTCACCCCTTTGTAGCACCAGGAGCAATTCGAGCACCACGTTTGCAGAGAATGCTTCATGCATCGATGTCCCTTTGCGACATTCCGATGTTTGTGAACCTATCACTAATAAGGAAACATTTGGGGATTGGGAATCAGATAGAATGGCATTGAGTGGTCCGCCTTCTTCAGTGGGAAGAGATTCTGAGGCCACAGAGAGGGAGAGGCTCAGGGTCGCGGATATCATTAGAAAGCTGACGTCTAGTACTAAAGATAATAATGATAGGGAGCATATTGTTGGCTATGAATCGTCACCTCTTGTTAGAACGTCATTGGATCAATCAGAACAGAGTTGTTTTTCCTCTGTTTTTTGTTCGCCACGCATCAAGGGGCGTGGCGCATTTAACAATTTGCTTGTGCAAATGGGGAGCGAGAGACACAAGGAGCTTGAACGACTTGAAGCACGTAAACCTGTTTCCAAGTTCTCACAGCGAGGCCGCATTCAGGTATTATTAAACTCTAAAACAGCTCCCCAGTCATTGTTTGTTTAATAGTATCTATTTTTTGACCATACCATGCTTTGTGAATAGGCTCTGCTCCGGGTTAGATTTCTTCGCCGTGGACTTGAAGCCAGAGAGGGTCGACATGTAAACAGCACATCATTTGAATTAAAAAAAATTACGCAATCTACCATTGTACATATCAGGTTAGTTCCTTAAAAGATTTTTGCTTATGAAAGCCTGGTGTGTGGTTCTTTCCCTTCACATATTGTCATGTTAATTTGCAATGGTTACTTGACGATTATTTTCTAAAACATGAAAGTATGTAACATTGTCTCAGTGAATAGTGACATTCACATAGCATTAGTGAGACATAAATTTACTCCTTTTCCAATTTAGTAAAGAGTTGAATGAATAGTTAGTGATGCCATCTTTCGCAATATATCAATTTGTCATTTATAGAACATTCCTCAAGTTCTGTGAGTTTCTTATACATTGACATTTTGAATTGAGATATGGGATATCTAAATTTGTCAGCTATTAGAGAGAGAGCATTCAACATTGTGTGCCACTACTATCTATTTAAAAGGAGATCATCAAAGATAGGCTTCATTTTGCTCAAGCATTTCTCACGAAAGGAATTAATCTGAAGAACTGTAGCCGCTTTTCTTCACTATCTTTTAGTTATATTCATAACTCTTCGAAATTAGTATTCCATTGTGTTACAGTCCAATTTCATTTTTCAACACAAGTATATCATTTAAAACAGATTTCAGGCAGTCTTCATTGTCTGTTTCCTAATTGAGAATTCTTATGTATGACGTATCCATATTTTTGAAACATCACGAATATGTCACATTTACCTCGACCATATGATCTACATCTCTTTAATATTTACAAGGAGTGATTCAAACTCTCTAATATTTACAAGGAGTGATTCAAATCAGGTGTTCAAAATGGTGCAATTGACTCAAAGAACTCTCACAAAGAGGTCGTAGATAATGCTGCATCAGCAAATATGTTGAATCAATCAGCTAAACAAAATCTGCAACAAGAAACAATAGCAGATCATGTCCTAGATGCGGAAACCTCTTCAACCTATCAAGAAACAAATGGCTCCATAATTTCACATAAAGTAATGGCAGATTACATCCTAGATGAAGAAACCTCTTCAACATCCAAAGAGCATGAAGTTGAACTCATTTCCCATGGAGTTAACGAAAATATTCAACAAAGCAGTCTCCAAGCACGTCTTCGAACATCTCCATCAAGAAGCAAGTCCATTATCAGATTTTATGTGGCAAGGGACAGACTATGAAGCCAACAATCATGGCTTGACTGAATGTACTGAGACAGCAGAATCTCTTATTGATGTTAACAAAAATAAGCATACAGAGGAACAAGAAGTGACTTCTAAACGACAACTTACCATAACCAATTGTAACTTGAATGATGATTGTGCTCATCCATACAGTCACTGTGAAAACAAGCTTCTAATGGGAAAAAAAAGCTGAGGCACCTTTTCTGAGCACTGCTGTTGGAATATACCCTGTTGCAACTCTTCCTAGGACATAGGAAATTTCAGAGAGAATAGAGCTGTGTTACTCTTGTACATTTTTTAAACATC